TGTTCTGTATAGTCTGTTCTTTAATGATAATGTACGAATGAAATCAAAGCTAAGCATATTGATTTTTTTAGCTCACATTGTTAGTTTTGTGAACGATTCATCTGTGCAGGTCATTGGGAACAAAAATTACAGTTTGCCCTTGTAATCTTTAATTGAAATCTGAACATGCACTTCCTGTTTGTTTTCAGTTCAATTCTCAGATTATGTGGGTCTGAGGTATTGGGCGTGGCTAACATACTTAACCACGCCCCTCCAGCTGTCAGTTTTAAAGGCGCTATGATGACAACAAACTTAAATGGCAAGGAGGAGAAGGAGTGTGTTAGGATGTAATAACTCTCCCTTCTGAATGAAATGCCTACTTTACTACATCCAATCAGGTCTCAGTAGAAGAAACAAGCCACACCCACTGTTGTCTCCTTTTATTTTTCGTTTCTCTATGAACTGTGTCATAATATGAAAAAAATAAATGAATACGTTCGCAGCTTCTGGTTCATGCAGACTTAAAGGTATTTTCCAGCTGTTTTGTGTCTCATTCTGCATGCAGCTGCTTTATATTGAATTGTTTTTTGTTTAAATTTTGTTTGCCCTTTATTGACAGGACAGTAGCTAGACAGGAAGTGATATTAGAGAGAGAGAGAGAGAGGATATACAGGATCAGGAACACTCCACGATCCGGGACTCGAACTAGGCACGCCTGAATCTCGTTGGCTTAATAATATCTGCACTGACCAATAGACTATCAGCACAGACTGTACAGACTCTGACTCTCTTTATTATCCACAAATAATGTCAATCTGTCTGTATTTTCAGCACAGAATTAATCACACTCAACATCCTCACACACGTCACATAAAAACACAAGCAGTAACACAAACACATTCAACATCACACAAATCACATTAAAAACAACACAATTCAGCCTTTACTCACACTCAAACCCCAGTGTTGGAAGAGAAACACACATTTATCCTGACTCCAGGTTTCCTTAAACAACTTTTTGATGGCAGAAGCTGAAATGTTTTATTTAATGGCACAATCTTCAATAATAATTGATTTCTGTTTAATTCTCATTTGATAAATCTCATTCAATTCTCTTCGTGGTTCATCTACAATTACATTGCTGATTGTAGTGCTGGACACTAATAAAAACACTGAATATGATCTCCAAAAATGTTGATTTTATTACAGTTTTACAAATTGTGATGCTCAATTAAGTATTTTTGATTTCATTTCTACCTTCTAGTACCAAACTGTATTTATAAAATGTATTTGAGGCTTAAGGATCTAAAATATTCATTTTTAAAAGCAAAATATTCAAAAGAACATTCTAGATAAACAGAAATATATCTTATAAATAAATGTACAAATTATGAAGTTATAAAGGTTATAGCTGTGATGTCTTTCTGTAAATCGTGTAAATCATCAACCGCTATATGGTAAATAAAGCCCCTCCTACTAGTACAGGAGCCATTCATCGATCGCTATATGGCTAATATAGCCAAATATCAACATATATATAAAACTGTAGCTAATTTACTATTTGAACACACATGTAGACTTTATTTGTGCTTCCAATGGCTGAATGATAAATGTATATAAAGGCTATTTTACATACCATATACGTTTAACAACGTTTTTTTCTTTTTGTTTAACAACTAACTCCTTAGTAGCGGTATCGCCACCTACTACTGAAATCCACAAATTTGGCGATCGAGACCATCTATGCTACGATTGCCATTCATTAGACTCCGAACAGTTTAAGGGTTCCCATTTCAGTCATTGTTTCATTATTATATCGTAACAATCATTTTTTAACATCTATGCAGTTTTGGTACTCAAATTATGTAAAGAAATATAATTAGCTAAAACACTTATTCAATTAGTTAGTTTGTTTGTATTACTATATTTATTGCAACTACCACAAATTACCAGTACTTTATGGTTTAAAAAATATATATTACTATAAATTACTATAATATTTAATGTGGGAAAACAATAATAAAAAAAGTTCCCCATTCGCCTGTCTCCATCGCCATATTTGTGAAATAGGAATACACTTTTGTCATTTGTGTACACTAGGGTTGGTCCGATAGACGATGCCATCGTCCATCACCGATGACCAAAAGACAACACGATGCTGAGCTGGCATTGCCGATCCTCTGCCCCAACCCCGTCACAAACCCACTCGCGAAAAATACACACTTAGGCCCTGTTTACACTAATATGTCTTAGTGTTAAAATGGCATTTTAGAACAAAAATTATCCACACTATGTTTTACCTAGCATTTCTGAACAGCTCTCCATCTGCTGAAAACCCACATCACGTGACCAAACACACAAACAGACACAGCGACACACACACAACGCCACACACTACCATGTGCTGCTCTGAGCTCGTCTGAGATATTCCTCTGGATCGTGTCTCACTATAGTTGTTAAACGTGATATTTAGACATCTAAAGTCTCCTGGAAGTTCCACAATTGTTTATTCATATTTTTCCGAACTTGAAAATGAAAAGGACTCACATAACTGTAGACCTAAGCGCAATATTAAACTAGGGTGTATAAACTCAGAGATTAGAAAAAGCTAAGAATACAAACAAGAACCACAGAAAATACTTAATAGGAGTGTTAGATTAATTGTATTACACTACTTTGGCATTGCAAGACATGAAATTATTGTCCATTTTCGCCTTCAGTACTCCCAGTTGTGTTGGGGTTGTGTCTAGCAGACACGCTTCGTTGAGGGGGAACTGGAATACCAGAAGGGAACAGAAATGACTGCTTCACCGGGACTCGAACTTGGGACGCTTGAATCTCATTGGCTCAATAATCTCTGCACTGACCAATAGACTATCAGCACAGACTATACAGACTCTGACTCTATTATCCACAAATAATGTCAATCTGTCTTTACTTTCACCACTGAATTAATTATGCTCAACATCCTCACAATACATATAAAAACACAAGCAGCAAAACAAACACATTCAACATCACACAAATCACATGTGTGAACAAATATTAAATGACCAATGGTAATGGTAGTTTTCAGAAATACTCAGGAGGGGATAATGCCAAAACAACAAACAAAAGATCTAACTGATTGAGGAAGCAACTTTCTAAACTCTCAAAATAAATAAAATAAAAATAAAAATGAATCTTACCTTGCTTCCTCTCTATCAGAAACAGGAGAAAAATAAATGTATCAAACAAAAAGTGGCATCCATCTCCGTACTGCTTCAAAAAGTTAAAAACAAAACCAAAAATATAAAGTAGAAATAACAAAGGGAATTTAAAGTAAAATTTTCACTGTATTGTTCTCTAACAATAAGATTTTTTACATTACAACAAGTTTCATAATATTATTTAGCACAAAAGCTAGTCTGGGGCAGGAGAACCAAGTGAGAGCTGCCTTAACCAACTAGTGTTTGGCACGGTCTCTCTTTGTTCTCTTCTGCTACATGGCCCAGCTCTTTTAATTACCAATAGGTGAGACAAGATAGAAAGAGAGAGTGCGAGAGAGAGAGAATTTTTTCATTAATACCTGGGTATAGTCAATAATAATAATAATACACTAATAATAATAATAATAATAATAATATTTAATGTTAAAACGCACATCTCACTTAACCAAACTCAAAAGACAGCAAAAGAATTAAAGCATCTCTAAAATACAGACTTACAAGAAAGTGTTGAAACTTCTTAATATGAAATAATCTTGACTTTGCTTTTTATTAAATATATGTTTTACATTTAAAGCAGTTTTTTCAATTTATTATCAATGATATACTAAAATCTTCCAGCATCCTCTTGTTTGATGTCCATCAAGTGCTTCAAAGCCTTCAAAAAAGTTTAGTTTAATTCATTATTCATTATATTCATCTCCTTAGTTTTACTCAAATTATTCTTTATAAACTAATTTTACAGCAGTTTTGAAGCACATTTATGAAACTATAATACAGGATCTTTTCTTCTGTTACAGTTTTATCCAACTGGCTAATCAGAGTCGTTTCATTTGCATATTTAAATCAGTTAAACATGATTGCCAGATGCTTGCCTGGTGTTAATTGGTAATTTGAATGAGATGATGACTATTGGGTGGAGCGTTCAGGCATGTGACGGCATATATGGCCGCATTTCAGCACTCTGGAAAAAACAGCGACTTTCACACTTGCACACTTACAGAATGCTGTTATGAGTCGAGATATTTTATTAAGCCCGACCGTGTTTGTTTGCATGTGTTACTGTTCAGTTCATCCATCAAAGACGTCGCAGAAGAAATCCTGTTTTTTTGTGTTTTTGAGTAATTTCATAATAAATTCTTCTCATAAACTCATAGCTGAGCTGAAAATCATTTATTTGACTTAAAGTTCAGCACAGTTTCTGTTTCATCAAAACACAACAAACTGAACTCAATAGCAGAAAGCATTCAGAGCTTTTTCTGCTGAAAATCATTTTTTGTTTGAAACAGAGATTCAGATGAGCTAAAAACATGTTACGGGGCATCCTGTTAGATGACATTGAGTTTCTTTATTATCATCAAAGATGAAACATATATTGATTTTAAAAAAAAGAAATCACTGAATCACTGAAAATGATCGTCAAAATATTGATTTATTACAGAAATAGAACTTTTGAACTTTAATGATGTTTATATGTTATTTTAATACTACAAGGACACAAGATTTACATTTATTTATTTAGCAGACACATTTATCCAAAGAAACGCATACATAACAACATAAAGCAAGTCAAACACCGAGAACAGCACACACTGTCTGTTAAATGTGAAATTTAAGTAAGAAAGAAAATTTAGATTTAAGAAATTTTTAATTTAGATGAGACTCAAACACCTGAACAAAGAAACATGATTTAGGATCAATAATTTTGGATATCAATATTTATTTTTGAAAATATAATACAGTAAGAATTTATATTAAAAGAAATTTGAAATCGAGAGTGTGGTATATTATGTCTTGTTGTTTGTCTTTGCTCAGGTGTTCACACCTTCCAGTTCATGTACGGCTGTGAGATGGATGATGATGGCAACAAACAAGTACATTGGCAGATTGGCTATGATGGAGAGGACTTCATCAGTTTGGATAAAAAAACGCTCACCTGGACTGCTGCTAATTCTCAAGCTATGACTACCAAGGTTAAATGGGATTCCACTGGAGCAGAGGCAAATTACTGGAAAGGATATCTGGAGAATGAATGCATTGAGTGGGTGCAGAAGTATGTGGGCTATGGGAAGGACACTTTGGAGAGAAAAGGTATGAATATTATTCGCTTTTATTGACCACTAGATAGTAAGCACTCATCATAACATTATCTACCTTTTAAGCTGGAAACTAAAAAGTTTCTTTAAGGTTTTGAAAATATGCATCTTTAATTTCTTCCTGCAGTATTAATTTTCTTGTTAATGATATTAATATGAAAACACTATGTAGTCTTTTACCCAAAAAAAATTTTTATATGTTATAAAACAACTTATTTCTGTTCATGCTATTTTCTATACAGTACATCATCTGATCTAAGTCTACATCAAAAAAACAGCTACTAGTTAGAACTAAAGTGAAAATTCCTCTGCAGTATATATTACCACACAATAACACAGCAGATTAGCAAATTGAATGATCTTCCTATCACTATATTAGAATAGTCTAAAAGAAAGAGACTGTACTGTATATGAAACATGAAATCAAGGGATAAGATTCATAATTACATGTTTTTGATTGTGTGATAAGTCTACTGATGTGTACTGTACTTGAAACTACAATAGATAGTCAGAAGAAATATTTAGCAATTATTTAATTTGAGTTTGAAGGCTCTAATTTTGCCTGTCTCAGTTCATTACCTTAGTCATCTCTCTTTAATATTTGCTTTATTGGCATGAAAAATTTTACAAATGTATTGGCAAAGCAGTTATAAAGTTTACATAAAAATAAAAGAACATACATATACAATAAAAACACAGTAAACAGTAGTAGTAGTAGTTGTAAAAATATAAAAAAGATATCTACATGTAATAATTAAATAAAAAATATAAATAATATATCATTATTCAATATATCATATTATAATTCAATATATTATATCATTCATATCATATTATTTATTTATAACAATAAAGGTAATAATAGATCAGAATAAACTGTACATTTAACAATCAACATTTTAGGATGACAGTAATAAAAACAATAATAATCTGTATATTTACAATTATTTAATTAGAATTATCTAGGTGTGTGTGTGTTTGTGTGTGTTTGCAAGCACATCACTGATGTTTTTATTGGTCTGCTTTCTCTTTTTGTGACAGGCATTAATGTATTTGGCCGCTAGAAGGACAGAGTCTGTTTTTTCTCCTAGTAAATACTGAAGCTGTGTTTTATTGTCTAACTCAGTGAATTGTGGGTAAATGCTCTGTAGTTTGGGGTAGATTGTTTCTCTCATGTGCTGATATAATGTGCAGCAGGTGAGGAAGTGTTCCTCCATCTTCACCTCTGCTTGGGCACAGCGTGGGCAGATGCGGCTCTCTCTGGGTTGCCAGTTCTGTCTGTATCAGCCTGTCTCTCTCTCTCAGTCTCTCCTCAGGTGTCTCTGCTGCAGAAATCTTCTTCTTCTCCAGTCGTGTGTCATGTTACAGGCTTTTACCCCAGTGGTTTAAAGATCTCCTGGCAGAGAAACGGACAAGATCATGATGAGGATGTGGAGCTTGGTGAACTTATCCCAAATGAGGACGGAACCTACCAGAGAACGAGCACTCTGAATGTTAAACCTGAAGAGTGGAAGAAGGACAAGTTCAGCTGTGTGGTGGAGCATCAGAGCAAAACTATCAACAGTATTCTCACTGAAGACGAAATCAGAACTAACAATCGTAAGTGTGACTGTCTAGACAAATTTAACAACAAAAAATTACAAACACTAATGAAAATATTTTTTTTGTTCAGGCTTGTATTAGATATTAGATGATGTCAGAAAACTTTAGAGTATACTGATCACATCATGATCACAGATTACATTTTTGCCATTAGCTCCCAATTCTAGTTTTGCATTATATCAAGCTCTTTAATAATCTGCTGTTTTCTTTTGATTCAGCTACTGCCCCCCTTGGCATCATAATTGGCATTGTAGTCGCAGCTGTTCTGCTGGTAGCCATTGCTGTTGCTGGGTTTGTGGTCTATCGAAGACACAAAGGTGAGACATTATTTTTAGATTTTACCATCATCACATTACTGACTGGATTGCATTTTTGTCATATTTGTGTGCTGCACTGAGTGAAATCACCAAACTAAATGTTCATCTCTCTCATTGATTTTCAGGATTTAAGCCTGTTCCCCAAAACAGTAAGTTCCTCACAAATCTGTATGATAGTGTCTGCTAAAATATATTTTGCAACTTTCATAAAGTAGTGTTTTAAAAAAATCTATTAGCTTGAAACCGATTATTTGTCCTATAATATGTCTCTTTAGGAAGCTAAAACTAATACTAATAATTCTGCATAAGTAGTCATCTGTGTTAATTTAAACAGTTCTCAGAGAAGTCTGTGCTGTTGTTGTAATGCTAATTTTCTGTTTCAGCATCTGATGGGGGATCAGACAACTCATCTCGTACATAAAGATATAAGTGTGGTAATATTAATGTTACGTCTACACCCTGTCTGTGTATCTATTTCTATTTAGTTTTGTGTTTTCCTTGATTGTTGGATGTTTCCACCCCCTTGTCAAACTGTTTAGCTAATTGTTGCTTATGTATTTATACTCTCTTTCTTTACTCTTGTTGTCAGCAGTTGTTTGTTACCCTTGAGATGTCATAGGTGCTTTGCTTTTGTTCTCTTGTTTTTAGCTTGTTTTATGTTTAGTCCAAAGTATTTTTTAAACTGACTGTTTAAGGATACTTACCTTCTAATTTTTTTCACCGTTACACAGTACAGACTTAACAAATTTTTACTCATGAGTGTAATTATCAGTTATGTACAATACATTTTTTTTGTTCTGGCTTTTTAGGACCAGATGAATGCAAGAGATGAAGCTGAAGAAAAAAAGTGACATCCATCCTTCTCCTGCTGTCCATCTTGCATTGGAAGCTGCATAAACATGTAGAACATGTAGACAAATTTATCACGGATTAATCTTTTGGGATTCACTTTCTAAAAAGTTAATTTTCTTCACACTTTCTGTTCATCTTTAGTTTTGAGAAACATGGCAATGATTACCAAACCAAAATTACAGATATATATTTTTATTTTGAGACTATGAAGAATGCAAGATTGCAAATTATTGATTTGGATGATTTGTAAAAACCTTTTTCATGTGTTTTAAAGAGATTTTCTTGGGGTAAAAGGGGGAAAAGCTGCTTACATGTAATTGAAAATGCTGTATTGTGCTTACCTGCTTCAACATTTAAATAATTTTAAAATGATATATTGATCACATTTAGTAGACCTTTTCCATCAGTTACATCAGATGACATGATGTATTTGCTTTTTTATTTCTTGTAGAGGTTAATAGGTTTATTCTTCTTGCTGTTTGTTTCCTTCATTTTTGTTTCAAATGTTTTGAGGTGAAATGCTGTACTGCATAATAATAGATTATTTTTAAACAATTGTAAATATTGAACTAAACTTAAATGTGTGAACAGTATAACACAAAATAGAATTGTTTCTTGTGGTTTGAGGTATCTACGTTTAAATTAAGTCAGGCTTACATAAATATTTGTTTATAAGGGTTAACTTGTCATGTGCTTTTGATTCTTTTAAAATAAATAAACCTCACAAAAGAGCATGTTGTGAATGTCTTTCACTCTTCTAACAAAAAAAATTCAGATTTTACAATAAATTTTAAATTAATTTCTGCTCCAAATGGAGAATATTCTAGAAATACAGAACTATGATGTTTGACATTACGACTCTTTCACAAAGTTATGTAAAAAATATTATATCTGAATCTAAATTACTTTATTCACCATTGCTTTATAGATCAGCAGTGAAATGGAGGGATGTGCTGACATTTATCACCAGGAAGAAAGAGTTATTTTTAGTTATGTTGTATGATAAAATATGAAATTTAATATATATATATATATATATATATATATATATATATATATATATATATATATATATATATATATATATAACATAAGTGCTTTAAAAAACTTTGTCATTCTTCATGTCATGATTAATTGAAATATACTAATAACATTTGGTCCCCTGTTAAAGATAGTTATTGAGTTTACTAATAAAGTGAACAAAATACAAAAATAAGAAAAAATATTATTTTATAAAACACAAAATTGTTGATTTGTTTATGAAAATGTAAAAAATGTAGAAGGTCTTCTCCAGGGGTTACATATTAGGAGCAGACTTAAAATTAGAGAGTAGAAAAATTTGTTAGACTAGAACATGGCAAGTCCTCACAAATGTATGTGTGTGTGTGTTTCTGGTATTCATGATGTTGTAGGGACCAAATGTGTCCAAAATATAATAATACCAGTCATTTTTGAGGGGCCAAAATTTTGGGGACATGGTTCTTTGGTTTCCGTTAAGAAAATTGCTTATTAGTAGTCATCCATATAACAGTGTTCTGAAAATGTAAAAACACAGAAGGTTTTCTGAGAGATTTTATGGGTTAGGAAAAGAGGACAGAATATACAGTGTGTTTAGTGAGTCAAGTATATTGAATAATACATAAGGAACTGATGTTTTCATGCATTAAATGTAGCATTATAACTTATAATTTTTGTCATTTATATTAAAAAATATACTTCATAACAAATAGATTTTCAAGACAAAATGTAAAAAATACGTGGCACGGGTTTATATAAATTTTCATTCATTAATTTTCTTTCTGCTTAGTCTCTTTATTCATCAGGGGTCGCCACAGCAGAATGAACCGCCAACTTTTCCAGCGTATGTTTAACAGCGCATGCCCTTCCAGCTGAGACCCAGTACTGGGAAACATCCATACACATTCAGTCACACATACTCTTATACATCACGGAAAATTTTGTTTATTCAATTCACCTATAGTGCATGTCTTTGGACTGTGGGGGAAAGCAGAGCATCCAGAAGAAACCCACGCCAACACAGAAAAAACATACAAACTCCACACAGAAACGCCAACTGACCCAACTGGTTCTCAAACCAGTGACCTTGATGTGAGGTGACAGTGCTAACCACTGAGCAACCATGTCGGCCTTTATAAATTTTGCCAAGCACTAAAACAAATGGCAATTCTTTGGCAATTCACTGCTAAAAATATTTAGAAGTTATTAATATTTATGGTGGGTGGCTCAGTGGTTAGAACTGGCATTCCTTTGTGGAGTTTGCATGTTCTCCCCATATTGCCGTGGGTTTCCTCCGGGTGCTCCGGTTTCCCCCACAATCCCAAAGACATGCGCTATAGGGTAATTGGATTAGCTAAATTGGCCGTAATGTATGAGTGTGTGTGTAGTGCAAGAGCATATAGATGCTTCCCAGTACTGTTGCGGCTGGAAGGGTATCTGCTGCATAAAATACATGCCAGAATAGTTGACAGTTTATTCTGCTGTGGCAACCCCTGATAAATAAGGGTCTAAGCCGAAGGAAAATGAATGGATGATTGAAAGAATGAATAATATTTATAAAGTTATCTAAAGTTATTTTTACAGCAAGATGAAAAGAGCTCTCCACAAAAGAAGACTGCTAAACTAACCGGCTTTATTGGCTAATTGACAACATTTGAGTTAATTGGAGGCACAACTGTAGAACAGTATTTAAAGAAAACCTCAAACACACTGCTTCCTTTTGTGACAACATGGTAAAATCAACAAGCCAGAATCAACAAAAAAAAAAAGCCAGATTACAATTTGCTAAATTACAATATTAATTTTTGGAGACATGTCCTGTGGTCTGATGGAACTAAGATTGAACTGTTTGGCCATAATGACAAGCCTAGGAACACCATCCCAACTGTGAAGTATGGGGGCGGCAGCAGCATGTTGTGGGGCGGTTTTGCTGCAGGAGGGACTGGTCCACTTCACAACACAGATGGCATCATGAAGAAAGAACATTATGTAGAAATACTGAAGCAACATCTTAAGACATCATCCAGGAAATTAAAACTTGGCCACAAACGGGTCTTCCAAACAGACCATGACCCTAAGCAAACTGCCAAATTAGTTAAAATGTGCTTTAAGGACAACAGAGTGAATGTTTTGGAGTGGCCATCACAAAGCCTTGAACTCAATTCTATAGAAAATTTGTGGGCAGAGTTGAAAAAGCTTGTGCGAGCAAGACAGCTAACTTCCTGTCAGGAGGAATGGGCCAAAATTCCTTCAAACTATTGTGAGAATCTTGTGGAAGGATAGCCAAAACATTTGACCAAAGTTCTACAATTTAAAAGCAAAGCTAAAAAACTACCAAGGAAATGTATGTCAACATTTGACTGTCTAGAAATTACTAAAAAAATTCTACAAAAACAAATTCTCTCATTATTCTGGCATTTAGCAAATCATTTAGGTAATCCTAACGGACATAAAATAGTAAACGTTTAGTATGATTTACCATCAGACATTTTTTAAAAAATGGTTTTGTTCCTTTTGTTTAGAGTGTATGCAAACTTCTGGTTTCAACTGTACATATTTGGTTCTTACAGATTGTTTCTCTTATTATAGTCTGGAGTAAAATTTCTTAAAATAAAATTTACTCTGCTGAGGGCGAGGCAGTGGCGCAGTAGGTAGTGCTGTCGTGTCACAGCAAGAAGGTTGCTGGTTCGAACCTCGGCTCAGTTGGCATTTCTGTGTGGAGTTTGCATGTTCTCCCTGCCTTCGCGTGGGTTTCCTCCGGGTGCTCCGGTTTCCCCCACAGTCCAAAGACATGCTGCAAGTGAATTGGGTTTGCTAAATTGTCTGTTGTGTACGAGTGTGTGTGTGTGTGTGTGTGTGTGTGTTTGTGTGTGTGTGTGTGTGTGTGTTTATGTTTCCTAGAGAAGGGTTGCGGCTGAAAGGGCATCCGCTGCGTAAAAACTTGCTGGATAAGTTGGCGGTTCATTCCGATGTGGCGACCCCGGATTAATAAAGGGACTAAGCTGACAAGAAAATGAATGAATGAATTTACTATGCTTTAAAGCAAAAAGTTCTTTGCTAGCAATTTTATTATTTTGATATAATTCTAGAAAATTTTATCTAAAACAAAGGCTGTTAACTTAAATCCTAACATACAAATAGCCCAAATTAATACTACTCACCATTAGAAATACTATTTATTTGTTCATTTTCCTTTGGCTTAGTCCCTTTATTCATCAGGGGTCGCCACAGCGGAATAAACCACCAACTTATCCAGCATATGGTTTCCAGCTGCAACTCAGTACTGGGAAACACCCATACACACACACACACACACTCACACATACATTACGGCCAATATAGTTTATTCAATTCATGTATAACTCATGTGTTTGGACTGTGAGGGAAACTCGAGCACCTGGAGGAAACCCACGCCAACATGCAACATGCAATCTCCACACAGAAATGCCAACTGACCCAGCCGGGACTCAAACCAGCAACCTTCTTGCTGTGAGGCGACAGTGCTAATCATTGAGCCACCGTGTTGCTCTAACACTATTTATATAAGAAATATATTTTCATCATTTGAAAAGACATAATATAATTGTTTCAATTAAAGGGCGTAGGTGTCACAGTGGGTAGCACAATCGCACCACAGAAAGGTCACTGGTTCAAGTCTTGGTTGGGTCAGATGGCATTTTTGTGTGGAGTTTGCATGTTCTTCCTGTGTTCGCGTGGGCTTTCTCCAGGTTTCCACCACAAGTCCAAAGACATGTGGTACAGGTAAATTGGTTAGGCTAAATTGTTCATAGTGTAAATGAGTGTGTATGAATGTTTCTCAGTGATGGGTTGCAGCTGGAAGGGCATCCGCTGTGTAAAACATATGCTGTATAGGTTGGTGGTTCATTCCGCTGTGGTTACCCCAGATTAATAAAGGGACTAAGCCGAAAAGAAAATGAATGAATGAAACTTGATTTTATGAATTCAATTTCTTTAAATTCATGTTTGATCCATGTTATTGAGGTTCTATCTTTATGTATTGTAATTTTGACTAGTTGACCACTACATTCATGTAAAAACTATTCTATAAGCTATACTTTAATTATCTAAATCTCCTAGCTCTCTTTTGTACTGTAAAATATAATGGTAAAGAAATTTTATTGTATTAATGCCGGAAAATCTGTTTTTAAAATCAATTCCTCAGAATCTAACATTCAAAATTATACAGCATATTCTATGTTTTCTTAAAATGTACAATTAGGTTACAACTATGCTGCATAAGTATAAGTATGCATGCTGCATAAGTAAACAATAAATTAAAAGTAATTAAAAAACAATAAAATCATATATAATTTTGAAATAAAATACAATTTAAACATTCAAAGGTGATTCAAATTCTAAAATTATTATTTCAATCTGGTATAAACATTACATAAAATAATATTCAAACATTTTAAAGAATGCACCAGAAATTTTGATTTGAGAACAGTTTAATTTTGTACTGTGCCAGATTTAATATTAAAACAGTGAGATTTGCATGAACATGAGATCCGATATGTTCAGAACATCCCCTTCTTGTAGCGGTGGATCAGCTCTGACACGTCCTCCTTACACACCTTGATCCAGCCGTCCTCCTGCATGTGGTACACTAGAAGAAGAAGACACTTCTGAGTCATTAACAATTTAGACTATATAGACTGATAATAAATGAGAATTAAGACCTTGAATACAAAGT